GAAGGACAGTAGCTGCCAACACCGCTCAGCAGCGAGCAGGAGAGAGGGTGCCCCCAGGCCAGGGACAGCTCACAGTTGCTGTCCATGCCTAAGGAGTTGCCTCGACCCCGCCCTGCCCCGCCCCCTCCCAGTAACCTAAGCCCCTCTGTCCTGTTGGCACCTGCCACCTCCTTGGTCCAAAATAACCTGGGTTGTGAGGAGGCCTCCCAGAGGCCAGGGGTCCTGGATGGAGTTTGGTTACGGACTCAGCACCCAGGCCTTATAAGGCCCTTGGATCAGGGCTGTAGTGGCTCCTGGTATAACGGTATGGTCTGCCAGGGGTCTGGGGAGCCAGGGACGGGGGATGGAAACTTAACTACAATCAAATGGCAAGGTCCCAGGTCTCTCAAAGGTCCAATCAAAGGGCAGGTCCCAGGTCTCTCATCTCTCGACTGAGAAACCTTTTCAGCATTTGGTGATCCACTGGGGTTCAAATTCCAACTCCATCGCTCAGCTGTGTGACCTTGGGCAGCTCGTATCCCCTCTCTGGGGCCACACCCCCAGGCCCTGTCTCCCTGCAGCTGAAGATTCCTGGGCGGGGAGCTGAGCAATGTTCAGGAAAAGCCCCATGTGCTGCCCTGGGGCTCTCGAGGAGCCCCTGCCCTTTCCGAAGGCTTAAGCAGGGGGCCAAACATCCAGGGGCCATCCTGTCCCGGCGGCACTCAAAACGATGCGGCAGAACAGTTCCTCCAATCACAGAGGCTGCCACACCTGGGTCCTCAAGGGCAGGGAGTCAGGCCACAGTCCCCCTCCCCAGGCCCCAGCTGGGACTTGCCAAGGACAGGAACCTGGAGCCCCAGCAGTGGACGCCAGGACAAAGAGGTGAGTGTCTAGGAGGCTGGGAGGGACTGCAACACACGCGCACACGCGCGCGCGCGCTCACACAGTGTGGCACAAATACCTAGAGCAGAGCCTGGGGAGTAGAGACAGGCAAATACAGATCACAACCACGGACACATACACGGCCACGCAAACCCCACGGACACCACACACGCGCACTCCCCAGGTGCTTGCGGCTTCCCCTCTCCCCGCGTCGGCTTCCCCCCGACGCGCACAGACACACGCGGGCACACACACTGACCTGGGGGTGGGGTGCGGGTGGGCACCGGGGCCAGTGTGTGCCCTGCCCGTTCTCGCCAGCCACCCGCCCGCAAAGGCGACTATTTATAAGGCTGTCAGCAGCGCGCGGCATGCTGGGAGCCAGCTCCGTGATGGCAGGAGGGAGGGAGGGTGGGAGGACGGACCGGGAAGGGAGGAGACTGGACCAGAGCGGAGCCCTGATGGAAAACCGGAGTAAGGCTGAGTCCTCCCTCATGCACCGCCAGGCGGCTGTGCCTACACACGCAGATGGCAATTCACGGTTTGCTGAGAGTTTTCCATTCCTGCGTTGCCTCCACTGTGCCCACTTCGCTCCAGCGGGACAGGACCACGCTGCCCATGTGACAGCTGGGGAAACTGAGGCCCAGAGAGGAGAGGCTCTTTGCACAAAATCCCACAGCAAATTGGTGACAGAGAGAGGCCAGACCAGGGAGGGAGGGGACTGAGGCATGGATTCTGGGAGCTTTGCTGGCCAGACGAGTCCCCCAGCCCCTCCTCAGATCTTGCCCAGCGGCCCCTTGGCCAAGACCCACCTGGAATTCCTCCTCCCTTGTTGAAAGGGATCCCAAGGACTCCTCTGGGACAGAAACTCCCCAGGACCCCAAAGAGCACCCACAAAACCCTCCCCCAGCTGGTGGTGGTATAGATTATAAAAACCAGCCCCGCCTCCATGGAACTGCCTGGCAGCTCCCAGTGAAGTGAGCTCGAGGATGTGGGACATTCAGAATGCTGTACCCAGACTGGGGACCGACGATCCTGTTAAAAAGAACAGCTCCCATTAATGAGTGCTGACGGCACACCAGGTGTGGACTCCAGCCATGTCTGTGAATCCTTAAACATGAAGGAAAGTAAGTTTCACACCTGTAAGCTAGCTCACCTAAGTTTCCCAAGTAGAAAGTGATGTGTTTATCTGTGGGGACTGACACATGGCAAAAGGCGCTCAATAATGTAGCAGGGCAGAGACCAGCACCTTGCAGCTTCAGAACTCATACACTTGCCCCTAGACCACGCCATGACCTTGAAGGCAGCAGTCCCAGATAGAGGGAGTGGGTTAAATTCAGAATTTGTCTCGTAGGTACTAGGGAGCCATGGAAGGTGTTTCAGCCGGAGAATAAGACTTCCTGGGAGATCATTTCAGGTAGGTGGTTTCTTAGCAACAGCCTGGACACCAGGAGGCCTGGATCTAGTCCCAACTCTGCCACCTATGACATCAGACAAAGTCTTTACTCCTGGAGACCTTAGTTTCCCCATCTGTGGGAGGGGTAGGTGCTGGGACAGGCAGTCTGCCATAGAAGTTTAAAAGGCCCTCTGCAAAGCTGTAGGTGGCTGTGCACATTGGCATGACCTTTGGGGAGAGCAAATTAATGATGTCAATCAAAATTTCAAATGTGCCCTTCACCCTCAGGAATCCCACACATGGGCACAAAATGCGTACAGGATGGTTCCCTGGGGCCAGCGAGCACTGACTTGCGGGAGGGAGGGCCGGTGGTGCAGCCAGGCGTGTGGGGAGGCGGTGACTGCCCTAGAGTCAGCAGGGGAAAGAAAGCCAGAGCTAGTGGGACATAAGACATTAGGCAGAAAGTCCCACTGTGCTGGTCTCATCCCACCTTCAGCGATTCTCAACACACAGGGACGTGCGTGTGCAAGATCCATTCCTCAGTTTTTTTCTTTGCATTTCGACATCTCTGTAATCATGTCGTCTTAGAAGCAAACCGATGGCATCTTAAAGTTAATGAAGCAGAACTGAGAGGGTGAGTATGTGCACATGATTCCCTACCCGCCCCCCATGGTAAAATCCCCATTTTCTTTTTGATACAAGCAGCTCCTACTACTTTATATATAAAACACTTTTAACACTTTTAACACGGATGTACCTTGAGGCTATTATGCTAAGTGAAATAAGCCAGTCACAAAAAGACAAATACTGTATGAGTCCACTGGCATGAGGTATCTAGAGTAGTCAAATTCAGAGAAGCGGAAAGTAGTGCCAGGGGCTGAGGGTGGTGGGGGAAAGGGGTTTGTTGGATGTATATAGAGTTTCAGATCTGCAAGATGAACAAGTTCCGGAGATCTGACTCACGACAGTGTAAACATACTTAACACTATTGAACCGTGCACTTAAAAATGGTTAACTCGTAAATCTTATGTTTTTTACCACGATAAAAAGAAATGTTTAAAAATCTTAAAAACTGGGGAAAAAAACCTATTTTAAGTACCTGTTTTAATTATTTCATTGGCATATGACCTATAGATTTTTCACCAATGCTGGAATATTGAAGTTTCAGGAATTTTTTTTTTTCTCAGCTATAACCTAAAGAAAGAAAAAAAGGAGGGAGAGAGGAAGAGTGGCAGGGAGGGAGCCAGGAAGAGAAGGAGCAAGTGGAGGGAGGGAGAGACGAGGGAAGGGAAGGACAGAGGAGAGAGGAGCAGAGGGAAGGAAAAAAAATTGCATGGAAGAAAAATCTGGAAGGTTATACCCTAGACTGTTAACAGGGAATAGGACTGAGCGATGCCCTCACTGTTTATCTTATATCATTTGTATGGTTTCCGTTATTTTATAACATAAAAATACCTATAAATATAACTATATAAAATGAAACCAATTTTAAAATACATTTTTAAAATATCCTGGTTAAATAAAAAATTCCCAGGCTTTAAAAATGAGCCAGTATCGGAGCATGGGGGATAAATCTGGGATGGCCTCACTCTGAGGTTCACAGCTGGATCCAGGAGGAAGCACACAGTGCCCCTGAGGGGCTGCCCCAGGTGGGGCCTGCAGGAAGCAGCAGGAGGGGCTGCCCCAGGAAGCACATGTGGGGTTTGCAGCTGGCGGGAGATGCCCCCACCCTCAAGCAGGATGGGGGTCTCACAGGGGTGAGAGGGACAGACAGGGATGCAGGGGAGCCCTGAACTCCAAACAAACAGGTGGGTTTGGTCCTGGCCACAGTGGGGAGCCAGGGAAGGTTTCAGAGCAAAGAGGACCCTGATGAGGTGGCTTCAGGAAGATAACTTTGGCAATGAGTATGCCGGTCTCTGTGGGACCCCTCTGAGGGAGAGTTTGTGGGGTTGTGGACTAGGCCCCGGGCCTCCTGCCTTCAGCTTCCTTCACCAAAGTCCTACCTCTTGCTGCTAAACTGAACTTTCCCGGGGTCTACACCCTCTTGACGCCCTCCTGCATCTCTCTTCAAGCCCACCAGTGGGAAAATTCCCAGAAGCCTTTGCACGGGGCTGGAGTGTACAGTATTCCCACCCACATCCCCACCCCCATGCAGGGCCTCAGGCTCCCCACATGATGACTTTGCAAGGAGTCCCTGTCCCTCTGACACGCCCACCACCACCACCACTGGGCCCCGGGCCTGGCGACCTCCCAGCCTCCTGACTGTCCTGCTGCTATCCAAGCAAGATGTCCTCTCTAAGCAAGAGGGATGGAGCCTTTGCCCTCCTCAAGCTGACGGCCTTCTGCCATCTGGTCCCTAATGGCCTCATTCCCACGGCTCCCTCAGTTGCCTACTGAGTGAGGCCATGGGTCCCACCGCTGGGCTATTGTTCAGGCCATTCTTTCCACCTGACAGTCCACCTCTCTTCAGGTGCACTTAATATAGCACATGGCATGTGGCTACTTCCTGAATGCATCCATGAATTGAGAGACAAATGCAGGTCGCTGTTCGCTCCCTGCAGCTCCCTGTTCGCTCCCTGCAGCTCCATGGTCCACCACCTCGGCTGGCCCAGAGCCCGGAGAGCCTTCCTGGTCCCGAGCAGGCGGGCTGCCCTTGTCTCACACAGTCACCCTTTGTCAGGCCTCTGCTCCCAAGGGCATCTTATCTGCCTCAACAGGTTGTAATCTCCCAGAGTCACAGACCCCGCTTCTCCTGCCAACCTAGAGTTGTAAACAAGGCCTTTTACTCAACCATAGCTCACCACACCCCTCCCAGAGTAGCAGCCCTGCCTGCTTCCCACTTGTGGGGCCCTGGAGGACTGTTACTCAGGACTCCAGGCCCCACCTCTGACCCCGCTGCCTGCCCTCTGCCCTCTCCCCGTCAACCTGCCGCTCTGACCTCCTCCCAACTGTCCCCAAACAGCACTCTGTGACGGGAATGTCGTTTTCTCCCGCCCCTTCTCTCCCTGCAGGAAGCTCTTTC